ATACATGTTGCTTTTATACAAATTCAAGATATAATTTCTAGGCTATACGAATTCATGTACGCTATATCACTTAAATTTTATTGGTTCAATATTCGTTTGCTCGTTCACTTAGTTATTCATTCATTCGCTTAGTTATTCGTTCGTTCGCTCATTTGCTTGTTTGCTCACTTTACGTGATATGATTTTTATCCAATAATATATGAGATATTTATAATTCAATAATAAAATATTATGACGAAAGATCATTATACAACAATATAAATCTAATTTAATAAATATTTTTATAATATAAATATTTAAGAGTAAAGTATATAATATTATTAAGTTATAGAATTTTTATTTAAGAATCAATTAAATTACTTAATTTTTAAAATTAAGCAATTTAATTAGTTCTTGAATAAAAACTTTGTAACTTGATAATATAATATATTTTATTCTTAATTAATATTTATTTATTTAATATTATCAAATTATAATCTTATAATTTTGAATATTGTTATTACAAATAGATTTTTAAATATATAATATATAAATATATTATTAAATAATATTATCTAATTAATATATTTATATATAATTCATAATACTAATTTGAAAAAAATTATATAATTAAGTATTATTTCAAAGTATTTTTTAATTTAAATTAAATTATTCCAATTTAATTTTCTTTTTATATATATTTTTTGATTCTTAATAATCTTGAACTCAATAAGAATATACAAATTTTTAACAAAATAAATTCATTACAAAAAATAAATAATACAAAAATATAAAAAATAAATATCTAAATCTAACTTGAAATATTGATAAAAAATAATATTATATGAAGGAAAAATTGATTATAAATAAGCTAAATAAATAGGAAGTCTATAAATAATGTGAAATTATATAATTTTGATACAAGAAAATAAAAAATATAGTCAAATTTCCTTTATAATTATTATCTTCAAAAAAGCAAAATTTGATAATTATAGAAAAAATATAACTATAAAAAAGATTTTTATATATAAATAAAAAAGCAAAATAGAATGATTATAAATAAATGTGATTATAAAAGAATTTGTCTATATAAAAAATATAAAAACAAATCAAGATTTAGCTTGAAATACTAATAATAATATTAGAAAACCAATTTTACATATAATTAATATTAATTTCTGTAATCACGTGAGCATAAATTTTTGAAGAACACATGATCCAGCGCTGTTCTAAAATATTATATATAAATAAAATATTAAAAAAGTAATAAATATTTATTTTGTTATAAAGATCTCTTTCTCTCTCTTAACATACACGTTGTTATTAAGGTTGCTTGCCGAAATTCCTTAGTAACTGTCTAAATTCTGTCAAAATTATAATAAACTATTAGTAAATAACCTGTCGAAATTCTGACGAATTTTGAAACCCGTCGTAACCGAAATTATGTCAAAATTCTAATTAACAATTAGTGTGTAATCCGTCGAAATTATGACGATATTTTTCTAAAAGAATTTAGGCAAGCATCCTTAACTACACATGCCAAAAAAATATGTCCTGGTATTAGCAAAGCTGACATAACCAGGCCTTCAGGCTCCTCTACTAGGTATAATAATTATCTTAATACATTAGATAAAATTGCAGATTCTATTCGTTCGAAATTATTGGATCTACTTTCAAAATTGTTTAAGTTTAATATAGAATATAGAAATGCGATGTATGATTTAATTACGCAGGCGCAAAAACGCAAACCCAAAATTACAATTCTGAAACAATATATACTTTTATACGATTTGGAATCAGAATGTCAAGAATTAATAGATTTCCGGAATACATGGCATAGGGTGATTGGCCTTGAAATTATCCGGCTTCAAGCATTATCAATCACATATGACAGTAAAAAAGATGACCCATCAGACATCGATGATATCATTGATCTATATTGTTAAGTATTCTTAGCTAAGATCGCCACAATCTACTAAGATATTTATGTGTTTTAGACACTAGCTCCGCTATACATTAACATAAAGTACATTTCCAACGCCAATATTTGCTTTTGTACTTCTAGTATTTTTCTCCTATTACAACGATATCTACATGACAATTAGTGGAACTGGGGAATGTGATGCCATCTTTCCAACTGGATTGGATCTCAATTTCAGAGGTTCTCGGAACAAATATTTTTCCAATTAGATTACATTTAAAATCATCACCCATTGCTTCAATTACAAAGCCAAGAACCGCCAACCGTAATAATAACTGTCGATAGGCCTTCTTTATCGCTTTACTTCCACTTGATAGCTTAATCTCACCCAATTCAACTGTCATGTCTGACATATTAGAACCACATGTTCTTCCGCGAAAATCAACGTCTAAAACTGTATTGAAAGGTGCCTAAAAAATTATATAATGAACGAGGGTAAGTATACTATACCTAATTCCCAATTACATTAAAAATGTATAAATACCTGGTTATTTTCGATTGCCTTTTCCGCGTCTAATACATACGACGTCATTAACATAATTCCCAATGAGGGCGTGTTTGCCAAATATAATTTGTTATTGGATGATGTTGAATTATGTTCTAATTAAATATAAGACTATAGGTTACTTTTGTTTGGTTTTTCAAACTTAATCTCTAACAAACCTACCATGAGAACGCCACTGTTTAAGAGCAACACCCGCTTTTTCTGCAAGATCATAAAGATTTTTGATGTAATCGCTATCATTAATTGGTAGTGTGCGGATAAATTTTATTGATGATTCAAGTTTTTCTCGCATTCGATTTACCTGTTAAGATTTCGTTAAATAAAAACCATATGTAAAAAGTTCATTTCATAATATTTTATATTCACTTACATAAATATAGTTTGAAAGTTTATGAACCCGATATGACGAAACAAATGCCTGAGAGGAATACTTTGGACTTTCGGATGGAAGTATTTTTCGCGGTAACGCAAGCCTCACCAATCCGTTAAGATCAACAATCTCAAATTTCGAAGTATAATGTGGACCGTGGATTTTTGACGCTTCGGAACGTGCCGACAATTCATATACATCACCTAAAGTTGTTCCCAGTTGATCAATCTTTGTTCTCAGTTGATCGATCTTTTTCATTATACTTCCCGAATCATCTGCACATAAACACAACCAAAAAAAGGAAAAGTTAAGTATAACTTATAACCAAACCAAGAACGGTTATTAAAAAGCCCGACTTTACTTGCGCTGACTAAATTTATTACGACTCACCAGTTTCAACGCGTGATTCTGCGATAACTTGAGCGGTGTTGACTATAAGAAGCAAGAAAGAAAAGCACAAGTTAGTCAACGTCACTGTGAGGGAATTTAATGTGTGGCGTGAGCAGTAAGCAAGAAAAGCTAGGATAATTAATTACCAAGAGGAATCCCAATGATTATATGGATATGCTTGCTTTTCGGTGCGGTCCAGTGTTCTTGGATTTCATCTACCGCCAGTAACTCGTCGTCTAGTACAAGTTGTCCCTGAATAAGGTCCTTGTGATCGGACGGGATTTCTACCTTCCAAAGCTTCAGTTTATTGGCGTCGATACCAGCAAAATCATTTGGTTTCTTTGCCTTTATCGCGTCCTTGAGATGACCAACAGTCAAGCTCCTGTTAATATCGACAGGAAAGGCTTCTGAGGCTTCTGAGGCTCCTTGAAGAATACAAAAGAGAGTGACGGACATAGTTATATATGGTTTTTGTAGTATGGGATAGACAAAAAGATGTTTCGTCAATTTTTGGTCGCTATGGGTATATATAAAAAATTTGGTTGTACAAACCCCGATCATTATAATGTCTTGGAAATTTCAGTCACATGATCCATTACCAGAGGTATCTTTTCCAAAGATATTCCATAATCTATAATTTCTTGAATTTGCTCATTAGTAAGTTCTGAAATAGAAGTTGCACTATAGGATTTAATATACTTGATTTTATCTAGGCCCACTTGTTCGAAAAATTTATACACTTTCTCAGCTCTCTGAGTTTTCTTGCGCAAACTATCTCGTGATATATCCCGAAGTTGTAACCCTAATTCTTGAGATCTTTGTTTGCGAATCAAATTAAGCTGTTTTGTAGTTGAATCATATAACAAACTTCTTGCCTTCTTTTCACCGAATTTACCTTTACTATTTTCAATAATTCTATTGAGCTGAATTGTGAAATCCTTCGCATAGACACCAACATAAAATTTCTTCCTGATTAGCTCGATTTGCTTTATCTTCAGCATCAAAAGCTTTATTACATAACTAAGCTAAATGTTGTGAGGCCTCATCAATGCTAGATATGTTAGCAGAGGTAATTTTTCCAGGACGTAATGTCTCGGAAATTTCGTTCACAAGATTTTGTTCTATTGATGGTTCCTGTGATGTTTCCGAGGCGAACAATTCATGTTTAAGCTTGTCTAATCCCTCACCTTTTTTATGTTCTACTCCCGTTTTCTTACGTATCTTACCAGTTTCGTCTTGGAAAATAATTTCATTACTATCTGAATGAGAGGATCCCGGAATATTTGTAGCTGATGCTTCGGATGTTGCGCTATTGCATGATTGAGTAACCAAGTTGAGATCTTGAGCTTGAAGTTTTTTTTCCCGATTTCTCTGCTTAATTGCGTCGCTAATCTTTTTCTTATGCACCTCATTCAAGAAAGCATCCATTTCCTTATTTTCTGATGACTTGCTGTTGGTATTATCATTAGGTGCTTTATCACAGGTAACTGCTCGTCCAACTTTATTATTGAGATTCTCTACTACGGAATCGGATACATCAACAACTGATACCATTATTTCTGGAATATCATTATTCTGTGACTGTCCAATATCGCGAGTCTGGCCTCAAGCTCTGTATTCTTTTGCTCTAGTTCCTTAACTCTAACATCGCGCTTTGTATTCTCCTCAATAATCTGCTTCAACTTTGCATTCTCCTTTCTAAGCTCGGCAATCGTGGCTATGAGCTGAGAATTTAATTCTTGCAACGAATCGATTTTGGATTGAGTATTCGACATTACTTTATATAGAAAGCACATTCATTCAAAATCTTTTTATTATGCAGATATCGGCATAAAGTACCGAGGTTAAATTCATACGGATCATTTTATAACATATAATGGATTATAAAACCATACGCCAAGAAAATACATTTTAAAATTATGATAAGGTTACTTGTGACAATAACGTTGATCATTAAGTCACGAGACTGAACTTCGGTCACAAGACCAGTTGATCGTACGTATATCAGATGAGACTTCTTTATCAATTCCCACGGATCTATTGTCAAAAAAAATATCCCGTAAAAAATGGATGCGCCTATCTATACTTTTGCTAATGGTGTCCCTACCGATCCTCAGGTTCTGGCAGTCTATAACAGTATGAGTGGGGCCCAAAGAGCCAGGTATGCTACTATCACTACTGACCAGGGAAGAAGCGATGCCTTGTACTTAATTGCCCAAGAAAAGAAAAAACCGGTATGTTTGCTTAGATAGTGTACATTTGCCATTGAACTTTTCACTGAGATTTGTTATAAATGTTAGTGGTGGCGTCGCTTACTTGATTTATTTCGATAGCGACATTATCTCAATCTTGTTTATGCTGTAATCAATTTACTTTCCGTTACCGGTTTTAATATCTGGAGCCATTTTCAAAGACGAGACGGAGATGAAGATTTTATTAAATGTTGGAATAATTACAAGCCTGAACAAGATGTTATACTTATGCAATTATGCATTCTCTTTGGTACCCAAATTATGATCATAGCCATGACATCAGCAACAGAAAGATTGTTTAACAAGGATAAGTTTCCATTTATCTTCGTTCCAATAATTATTGGGATAGGGTTGGCGGTAGTGGGAGGCTAACTTGGACGTTGCCATCTACCGCGATTTCTTTCGTAGGAGTTTGCGGAGAGTGCCATATATTATTTTAGTATATTCACTTGATAATAATGATGGTGAGGTTAGATCTTGAAGGATGCCATTGTCTACATCTATTGTGCACTTAACCACTACCTACGGCACTGTAATCGTTCACGGATTCATTCTGTGTCAATACCTACATTTATTGTGTGGTTGATTGAAACGGCACTCACGTGCCTTGAGAGAGCGATGTTCATGCACATAGTTAATTTTTGATTTTCTCTTGGCTCATAGTAGTGGATTTTACTATCCCTTGTCGTCTCGTCCTCTTCTATATAACGCTTTTCATTTGGAATTAGTACGATTTCGGAAACAGAATATAGCTAATGATTTGCAATTCCGGATCAGCGATATGTATAACACGTGAAAAATTCATTTCTTTATTAATGAAAAATAAATTACAAAGTCGGGTACTACCTCTAACTATTACATCATTTTTTAGTGCGATATCCCTCAACCCTAGCTCTCTTGCTATCTGGGGACTTTTCCACACAAGCCCGATCCTTTAACAACTCCACGATTATACCCAATACCTTTTTCACACCCTTAAAAATGTTTGGTATTCCTCGGAGTTTTTTTTCCAAAGCCTTCTTGTTGAATTCGATGCTATAGGGAACCTCACTTGCTTGAGAAATCTCTCCGGGACTGTAAAGTAAGAAATGCCAATCCCTGGCAGACGTCACGATTCCATAAAGATAGTCGAAATCATCATCTTCCCGCTTTCGTTTTTTCTTGTTCGTTTCGTACGAGCTTTCGAGTTGTTTTATATTTTGGGCAAAACCTTCGAGTATACTACGCTGAACCTTATCTTCAGTAACGCAGATTAGGTTTTCAGACTCCTAAAAAAAATAAATATTCATTAATATAAAGCTCCAGAAAAAAAAAACGTATGATGGATTTCCGTAATTCGTTTATAAAAAATAAAACAATTTTCAAACCTTGATTCCATAATCAACTCGTCCGGAACTTTCATCACCAACGATTTCATATTCTGGTCTCATGCTAAATTCTTTCCTAGTTAAGTCTCCTGCGATATGGAGAGCTGTGTGGAGTAATGTCGATACGTATTCGTTTCGCATGGATTCCAAACTATCCAAGACTAAAGACCCGTAATGCTTCATCCTGAACAAAATATCAGCCATGCAATGTGCAAAATGCTGGTCATTGTCTTCGATCTCGTATCGCGGAAGCTCGAACAATGGAATGGCTTCCACACCATACTGTCGAGTCCGTATTTTAATAACACTTCTCTTAGACTGCGGTACGACGAAAACGCTCTCAGTTTTTTCTCCTTGACCTCCTTGGCAAAGTCCACAATTCTTGAGGCAGGCCCTAACTTCATTCCATGTCGTTCGAAATCATCTCTGCCCAATTTGAGGAAATCACGTCCGGAGATCTTATCATCACGGAGGATTTTGAAATCGTCTTCGTCAAGTTGCAAGTCTTCCTCTCCACGCAAAAATTAGATGAGTTTTTCAGTATTTAACTTTCTAACCACTTCGGCCAAAGTGGGTGCAGGCTTTTCTTCGGTTACATTACTAGAAGCGGAAGCTGGAGTTGAAGTGCTCGACATTTTTGGGCTATATATGATTTTTTCGTGAAATGTTATTGGTAGATGACGGATGGAGGACAAGAAAAAAGATAAATGGGGCAGGCATAGGTATATCCGGTCTCGCAGTCATGTGATTTTTATTTTTCTTGGTAAAAGTGATCGGCGTGTCAATTTGTCACGTATAACTCGATTTTCAGACGAAATCTAGATGTATTAACATCCTGTTTCACAGACCCCCCTCCTCGTTTATAGATTCCATATAAGAGGGTGGTTGACTACTTCCAACATCGAACATACTAATATCACTATCGTCTCATGGTGCAGACATATTAAGGAATGAGGTAATATTTGCCAACTCAGATGAAGATAGGTATATAGCATTGTCTAAATTTCCACTTAAATCTCCACTCACATCATTTGTGTTATTGCTTGAATTTCCACCAGCATCATTTGTGCTATTGTTTGAATTTCCACTAGTGTCATTTGTGTTATTGCTTGAATTTCCACCCGCATTATTTACATTACTCGCATTATCTCGATTGGTAGTTTCGTCTCTTCTGCTGGGAGTTCTTCGGATTGGAAATGTGGATTGATCTCTTTGATCAGTGGAAGATTCACAGTGACTCCTATTTAGCATTGACGAAACTTCCTCAATAGATGGTGCTGGTGTTATATTTCTCACATCTCTATTTCACCTACGGTTTGTGATATTAATAGTACAGATTCTATCAAATTCATCTTCAGGCCTCTTTCAAAAATGCGTACGAAACTCATCAAAGTATTGTACATCTGTTTGACTTCTTCGTGCTCTTTGATTTCTGTCATATAATTACACATCAACTAATTAACATAAATTATTAGTCATAATAGCTAAGATGTAAGCAAAAAAATTTGGAAAAAAATCTATTGTGAAGCAGGTCAGTAGGTGATTCTTTGAATCATGGCTCTTCGAATCTTAATATACCAATACTTACATTGTAATCCCGAACAAGATTCATAAACTTTTCTTTATATTGGTGTTCATTAAAGCTCGTATTATGTTCTTGATTAATTCTGGTTGTGATGCTATCCCAAAATCTGATTCGATTCCTTCCAAAATTTTTCATTTCTATCTTTATACTCATCAATGAGAATACATATTTGAGTATTATTCCATTCAACCATTTTTATGATATTTATCCTGATAATGAATATAATGCGAGAAGGTGGAATTTTGTTGTTTTTATAAGCATATCTTAAGTATTTAACAATATTTCAACAGTACTTTAGCAGTACTTCAGCAGTACTTTAATCATACTTTAACTATATATCTGTGATTATATTAAGATATATATACTTGATACTAGCTCCACTATTGTATAATTTATTGCTTTTCTAATCACATTTCAACATTGTTTCAACCATGTTTTAACAGTATAAATCTATGGATATTCATTTACTTTTCACATAAATATAGTATAATTAACTGAATACATATGCCTCAGATTTGCATATCTCGGATTTGTCTATCTTAGACTAAGGATGCTTGCCTAAATCCTTTCAGAAAAATATCGTCATAATTTCGACGGGTTACACACTAATTGTTAATTA